AAGATGATTGATGAGAAGTTTTTTCCAGTTCTCTGAAATTTCTTGTCTTTTTAAAACTTGTTGCTTGTTGCCATTGAGTTGATTCTGACTCAAGGCAACCCCATGTTTGCAGAGTAGGCCTGCTCCATAGGGCTTTCAGGACTGACTTTTCAGAAGCAGATTGTCAGGCCTGTCTTCTGAGGTGCTGCTAGGTAGGTTTGAACCACGAACCTTTAGGCTAGTAGTTCAGCACTTAACCATTTATGCCACCTGGTGTTTATCTTTTTAATCTCTTCAAATAGACTGCACCCCTTCCCAAGCTCTAGCATTGAAAAGTGTGAATACATAATACACAAACAATGAAAACCATGGCCTAGAACCTTGGCAAATTTGGAAACAGAAATGTGCACTGAATTTAACTGTACTGAAATGCTAAGGAGTCGACTCAGTTAATTTTTCAGTGAAAAAGTCAATTTAATTCCTTTTCTAACCTACCCTTCCTTTGTTTGGTGTCTCAGTCTTCAGGAACCAGTATTATTGTGGATATTGCCGTGATGGGCGAGGCTCACGGCCTCATTACCGACCTTCTGGCGGACCCTTCTCTGCCCCCAAACGTGTGTACATCCTTGAGGGCAGTGAGCAACCTGCTCAGCACACAGCTCACCTTCCAGGCCATTCACAAGCCCAGAGTGAACCCCGTCCTTTCCTTCAGTGAGAACTATACCTGTTCTGATTCTGAAGAAAGCTCTGAAAAAGACAAGCTGGCTATTCCCAAGGTAGGTATTAATGACATAGTCCTGAAACGGTTAACCTTTTTCTTTTAATAGTCTTCTAGCTCTTCTTCCTGTCACCCGAAAGCTATTTACATATTCATATGGGTTACTCAGTGCAGATGTGTTGATCATGGTGACAAGAGTAGTAAAAATCTAAACATAAGGACTTTGTTTGCCCTTATACTTGATCACTTTCTATAAAAAGAAATGCCCATTATCTGTTCTATTCAAACTTTCGAGAAATTTTTATTGCGTATCTTCTAAGGGCCAGGCCTTGTCCTAGGTGCTAAGGATGCAGCAGTGAAAAATAGGCAATAAATAAATTAAATAAAACAAAAAACACCCCTGTTCCCATTCTAGGCTGGTTTCTGTTTCCATTGCCCTCTATAACTCAAGGTTCCTTTGCTCTTTGATTTCTTGGTATGATATTCTTCATCATACGCTCATGTATTTTCCAAACTAACGAGCCTTTTAATTATTACAGTTTTGGCTGATTTTTGATATTTGAAGTGAAAGGTGACCTTAGTGATTTGTGCAATTTCTTCTTTTTACACGTAAG